TTTCGTGGAGTTCCTGGTTTGAATGAGAACCTCTGTGGTGGAGACATGTCTTTGTCATTTGTGCACTCAGCTTCTGCTAGACAGTGTGATGATGCAGCTCTTCGTGAAAAAATGGAGGAACTAGAAAAGCTAAAAGCTGAAGAGGTAAATGATTGGCATTCAATTGATGGGTGCACAAGACTTAGTGTCAGCTCTAGACAATAAGGGAAATGGGGAGATAAATAATAAGAAAGCCTGCCCACAAGAAGTTGGTTTCCGCATACCGTCAGCTCGAAGATTCCCAGCCGCAGCCTGTGCCCCTATCCAGCTCCTCTAGAGCTTCCATGCAGGCTATGTTCAGTTTCAAACATCCATTTACTTAAGTCAATGCAACAACCAGATGTTTATTTGTTTTTTTCCTTCGATATGAAATTCTAAATAAAGTGAATGATTTCTAATATTTGCAGGAGGAATCTGACCCAGAAGACTCTCTCGAAAGGTACTTTCAAGTGTTGCTGTTTTTTTTTACTTTGATGTTGACTGTTTTTATCTAACTGTTTTTTCAGCTTTTGTTAGTTGGTTTTGCATCTGACGTTTGCGTTTTTCCATCGTCTTTTCCTTGATACCATTGAAACTGTATTTTTTCTCGTTTTAGCTCTAAACCTGTTGAGCACAATTTTATCTTGACTCAGTTTTACTTTCCAACGAGATGCAACTATTGCAGCAAGAAGGTATTGCCGACCATCCAACTATCCATCAATCCAGTCACCCATTGTCCCATTGTTTAATTCATCCATTCTTTCGCCAGTCCTTTCATTCATTTCTTTGTCTTAAATGTAAAACTTATCAATTATTTCAGTATATATCTTAGGCATGCGTTATGTTTTTTTTAGATCTGGACAAAGGTTGCCTTTCAGTGTAGGAATTGCGGTCTTATTTGTCACAAAAAGTGTCTTGACAGCTGCAGGCGGTTTAGTAGTTGTTTACGGTTAGTATGACTTGACWATGGMTATGACTGTGACTATGACTATGGCAAASGTTATGTCACTGAAGTGCCTATAGTTCTATGACTTTTATTCAACACGTAGATGGCACAAACAGCGAMAACAATCAATGTCAAGAAAAATATTCAATATTCAGCTTGTTTCCGCTAGTACTTGCAATGAACAATAAATTAACAGTAAATTAACAAATAAACAATAAATTAACAGTATTATGAGAACTAATAAATTCTTCTGCGGGATTTTACTATTAGTTCTAGTGGACAGAAATCAAGATGGTTCTCAAAGAAGCCGACAGAAACAAAAGAACAAGATAATTCAGTCACAACYGATGAACAAGCGCAACAAACACCAAAGGATCAGAAAGAAACTTCATCAAAGACAAGCGAAGGCAACAAAGAAAGTGRCATGGAAGGGGAAAAAGTGAAAAATGATAAAGAGAATGAGAAGAATGTGAATGAACAAACCTTGACACAACAAGAGGTAATGGGACAGGGACTATGATTGGTCAATTTATTGATTCAGCTACCTGTGGTACAAAAATTCCAACCCAACTCTACCCTCCCCCCCACTAAATAGCCAACAAACATACCCCTCCACTCAAAAAATGATAATTAAGATAGAAATTAGAGAATATTTGAACAGATGCATGGATGAATAGAAGGGTAAATTATTGGAATGAACTGAATGAACGAAAGTTACTGAATTATGGATGGATGAACAAATGAAGAAGGAAATAAAAGTAAACGT